AGGTCAACCAGATATCACAACAGGTCAACCAGATATCTCAACAGGCCAACCAGATATCACAACAGGCCAACCAGATATCACAACGGGTCAACCAGATATCACAACAGGTCAACCAGATATCACAACGGGTCAACCAGATATCACAACAGGCCAACCAGTCAACACGACGGGTCAGCCAGATATTACAACAGGTCCGCCAGATACTACTGTAGTTCCACCTACAACGCCACCATTTTGTTTGTCAAATCGACAACCTGCTTCTCAAGAGGAGATTACAAATTCAGTTTCACTGGTCATTCTGAATATTACTATTCCAGAGGTTTGTTTCTTTCAAAAGTCGTAACTTTTATCTCTATTGCATTGTTTAATTAAGAAATTAAAAAGAGTGTTTCATAGTTTATTTGGAATTGCCTCAAACTGATCTTCGCTTAATCCTTTGCCTGATCATCTTCGAGTTTTTCCGGAAAGGGCTTTTAGAAAGTCTACCACATATTTCTATTTACATATTCTTGTGTACCTACGTACATTTGAATTGTTAGCCATAAATTTACAAGAATGACTTAGCAAGGAATGACCTTTGTCAGGTATTTGGTTCCTGATCAGCCCCGTCTGATATATTTTCCAAATAAAAGATTTAGCACATGTACCTCGACCGTACCTCTTGTGGGTTAAAAAAGGTCTGGTATCTTTTGAGGGATGTTTTCAGATCTTTTGTCAAGAACCCAAGGATTTTATTTGAGAATGAAGGCTGTTTAAAGTAAAGATATTTTTAAAATCACAATTCCCAACATATTGTTGCGAAATGCCTAACTTTCTTTCGCAAATAGTTGGTTACGATTGTTAAGTATCATAAGGCATCACAAGCGTAACTGCAACAATTCTTTATCCGATAAATAAGAACCATCGTCTCATTTTTTCAGTGGTGTGCCATAGAGGAAAACTTTACAGAGGCATTTGCCACAAGTACTGCAAAATTCTGCAACACAACAGGATCATGTCCTGTGGAGTAAGTTAGAGCAAACATTTTTTTTATTTGAACTCTCAATTTTCTGTATGCATTTTCACAATGTACATGCTGGACACGAGAGAGCCCGCGTACATTTATAATTACCTGTAAAAGGTGTCAAAACTAAAAGATTCATTTTAATAGATGTTTCACCGGCAGCGTTACTTGTTATCATTATCACAAAGTGCAAAGAAAAGATTCTAGGATACAAATTTGCAGTATTCTTGAATTTAAAGTGACTGGTTACCGTCTACCGCTCTTGTGCTTCGATGCATAGATAATACCACGGTATCAAATGAATTCCCAATCACTAGAGAACAAATTAACAGTTGAACCTGTCTAAGATACCCTCTACTTTTTATTTTAAGTGCTTGTAAATTAAAACTGAACGAGTTCTTTCACCCCCACTTTTTATTATGTCCAAAGGGGTTTCCTCTCCACCTTAAATTTTCAAAATGTTCTCTCAACTAACCTTTAAATATTGCTGTAAATAATAAACAAAATCTGCTGAATAATATAACTAATTGCTTTCATTTTCCTTGGCTTTAAGACCGGATGTGGAGGTCGTGATACTTCCTGAATATCCCAAAGTTAACAGTCCCCTGGAGGTCAGGTTCTTCATCCGTCTACGGACCGCCATGAATACGTCTTTTACCCTCCGTAAACAAGAGCTCAATACGATTTTGGAATCTTTCCTGCGAAACATAAGTGACACGTTTGGTATAGAATTTACAGGTAATATTCATACTGTTGCAAAATACTCCCTAGTTGAATGTGCCCGAATACGTTTTCCTAAACGGGAGTTTTAGACTTTTTTGTAATCAATTCTTGGGATGTGTTTTCTTTACGTATTCTCAGGCTACTAAACGTACAGGGAAACTCTTCAAGCTTAAGTGCCTAATACAACGTTTTCCCAAATACATTCTTGACAACATACTATCTAGAGAGTTCAATTGGAATGCGGGAATCAAAGGAGGGACGCATTTTGGAATCTAGTTGCTTCTGTGTACAATCTAAGGGCATAGAGCTATTCCACTTGAAACATGTTCAAGACACATTCAAAAGCTTTCTTCTCCTTCTATCTTTTTAATTTCTTACAGTCAATGGTAACTTCACTAACTGGGGTCCCTGGGGACCTTGTAGTGCTTCTTGTGCGGGTGGTGTTGAAATGCGATCTCGAAACTGCACCAATCCACCGCCGATTAACAATGGCGCTGACTGCCAAGGACCTCGAAACGAAACCAGGCAATGTAATGTTCAGCCTTGCCCAGGTAAAAGGTTTATTTTTTGATAAATGTGGCATGGAATAAATGGTGTAAAAAGCGTATTTAACTTTGGTCGTTGCATATTATTGCATTTTTGTCCGGCCGCCCACCCATCCGTCCGTCCGTCTGTCTGTTTGTTTGTCCATGCAGTCATCCACTTCAGCTACCTTCCCCAACCACCGACCCACTAAGCCAGCCACCCACCCACGAGAGCAAAAAATACGCTAATTAGAGTCATGGTATAGTGTTATAGTGTTCTCCGTGTCGGCAATGAAATAGCCAACATTTTAAGTTTTAGTTTATGGGGCTGCTTAAAAAGGCAAAAAAAAAAAATAAAAAATAAGAAGAACGACAAGAACAACAACAAAAATCATGACCTTGGATTCTTACATGCGCTGGCCTTTGTCGTCAGCTAAATCTCGGTCTTGAAACTTTCTTGAGGAAATGGTTGCTGGAAATCAAGGAGTCTAACAGGTAACATATTTGAACGCTTTTGACGGCTAACTAATGTTTGGCACGGCGAATGCGACCCTTAATGCTACGATTATCTCTTGCGTGAGGCGGGACGAAAGTTTGGTGACCAGGGTTTAACGTTCAACTTGTGTTGTTGTCACGGGCGACTGACTCAGTTCCCAGTGGCAACTTGTCGGCCCTTGACGAATTAGCAGCAAAGCGTGCGAAATTGCAGGCAACGATATTGTTACCATTGGAAACGACGAAAGTTGTCCGTGACAACACAGTAATTTTAAGTCCAAAACTTCTCCACCGAAGCTCCGTCGCACCTTACTCAACTGATAATCGTAGTATTAGCAAATGCTGGATTGAATTACCGAATAATTCGCATGAATTGAATCGTATTTCACTGCTTTATAACAAGAGAACCTCTCGTGAAGAACCCCATTAAGCTTGCTACCACTGTTGTTGCTGTTGTTCGAATACAACATGCGTCGACTCTCGAGTTTTGAGAATTTCATGTCACTCTATATTGCAATTCTTTCCAAGCGTGTACCCCACCTGCAACTTTCCTCACTGGATCCACTGGAATATTTTCTGGACCAAATTTTCCAAACAATTTCCCAGCATTTGTTCCTGGCATTTCACTGGTATTTTGTATTGCTGGCTGAAGAGTTGTTAAGCCAAGTGAGCAATTGTGAATTCAAAACTCAAAGTGACCGTAGTAGTATCAGAAAACAAGTAGTCACCTAATGATAGGAGTGAAACCCACAAAGCTGAAAACCCACAAAGAGTGGATTCGACGAAGGAGTTGGTGCTCCAACTCATTCCTCTTTTATTTCATCCACCACTTCATCTTCCAGTCATTTAGCCACTTAGTCACCACCTCCCTGTCACCATCGCCACCACTAAAAATTCGTCTACCCATCCATCCTCAGTCTGTTTGCCCATCCTCCCCTACCCCAATCTATATACGACGAATCATCGCTTAATTTGCGTCTGTTCCACAGTTACAACATCGCCTCCGTCACCGAACGTCACCACGTCAGCAACTCCACCCCCCTGCGTTTTACCAACTCGCAGAACTCCAACACAAGACGAGATCAACAATGCTATCACTATCATCATTGTAAATTTCACTATACCACAGGTGTGTACCGTATTTCTATAAAGATCTGTACAACTTCTACGGTGACTAGCGTAATAGCGTAATCAAGCAGACCTGTCTCTACGTGTACTCAATTTCTCCTTATTCAAGATAGTTCCCGAAAAAGGAGGGACTGAGGAGGTAAATCCCAGTTATAAATCCCATTTCCTAGCTCAAATTTTGCCCAAGTCCTATTTTTTGACCCACTTTTTGCTCAAATCCCAGCCGCATTCCTATTTTTTGTTTGATTCCCAGTCCTAGTGACTCAAATCCTATTTTTCGCCTCAAAAATAGGCAAACCCCAATTCCCAAACTACCCCTTCAGGACCCGCTTCAAGAGACGAGAGATAGTTTACACGAGAAATTCAGTACTGTTGACACAGCTCTATAGAGACGCGTCTCATGTCTCTGATTGGTGGTAACTTTTGCGCGACATTTCAAAATCGAACAACAAGCAATCAGGGGCACAACAAGGTCCCCTGGCTCTCGCAAGGGAAAGGAATTGAGGGTGTAAAAGCTTTAAAGATGCTCGTTTAAGTTAAGAAAGAGATTGAGGATTAAAAATATGATAGTTCTTTTATACGCTTTTGGGGGTATGGACGACAAAAGTCGTTTTGCGCGTTCAAGGCAGAATTTACATTTTATGAGAAACGCATAACGCACGTCAAAAGTAAAACAGAACCAGAAATAAACTGGGTCAAATGAGATAAAATATCTCTTTTAGGGCCGCGGACATGTAGATCGAGGTAGTGTGTTTGACAGATTGCTTGTCTCTATTTATTCTTTGAAGTACAGTTACAATTTTGTTCAGCAACTCTTTAAGCACGAGTTAATTCTAGCAAATTTGTCTCAAAAGAACCATGCAGTTGCGTATTCATCCAGCCAACCTTTTCCATATTAAAGTTGTTCCGGTGGGAGGATTGTTAAAAAGATATTTTTGAAAAGTGTGTAAAAACATTATATTTTCTTGTCTCTGTTACCTTTGTTCAGTGCCGTAAGTAAGTCTTATTTCATATTCTGCAGTGTTTCATCTAATTTTTCTTTTTTTTTTATCTAGCCAGATGGATCATGAAATCGTAAAATCAATAATGTATTAGATAAATAGATTTAAATTGTATATTTTTATGATTTATATTTCTTATAGTGGTGCTTGATAGAACCCGAATTTAAACAGCGACTTGCCAATTTTGTCACCGACTTCTGCAATGCTGATATTGGACGCTGTGCCAACAGGTACGATCTACTTAGATCTTCACTTAACTTTGTTTTTCCCGTTAAGGGAGCACTGACAGTCCCTTTCTTTCTGTCATCAGATCCTTACCATCTGATCCGGATCTAATCAACATCCTTCCGGGATTTCCCATTCAAAACAGTCCTTTGCAGCTCAAATTTTATGTGCGACTGAAAGCTGGGAGAGATCAGCATGTTACAATAGATTACGACGTGACAGAGTCAATATTTCAAGCGTTCGCTCGAAACTTAAGCGACACGTTTGGCGTAGAATTCACAGGTGCGTGAAACGTCTTTAATTGAACTTGATCTTTGTTGTACTGTCTATGGTTGGTTGTAAAACTAACCTGAAAGCAATTAATCATTATGGCAAGTCATAACCTTACGGCCGCACACAATACAATAAAACAATAGCAATTCCAAGTAGATACACAGCGCCAACTGAAGAAAAAACGCTCGTGATTAAGTCACAGTTTGGTTTCGCATCTGATTGGTGGAGAGAGAGTGACTCGAGGTTTTGAACCAGTTAAGAAAAATTAATGCAATTTCAGATTTCTTTGGGTGCTCAAGTGCAAACCACTTTACCTGACTAAGGGCTGCTTTACTTACTATACTAGCGACGGAGCGGCATTCCATCGAACTCTAACTGGAGCAAGAGTCTCAATTGACTACAACTGACAATCATAACCGAAAGGATCAGAATGCTCCAATCATTACGTATCAGAGCCTCTAAATGCCATTTGCATCCTCTGAACACTGTCTATATTTGCGTTTACTCTTTTCCTTTTTTGATAATAGCCGATGGGAACTTCACGAACTGGGGTCCCTGGGGACCTTGCAGTGTTTCTTGTGCGGGTGGTGTTCAAATGCGATCTCGTAACTGCACCAACCCACCGCCGATCAACAATGGTGCTGATTGCCAAGGACCTCGCGACGAAACGCAGCCTTGCAACGCACAGCCTTGCCCAGGTACAGTATCAGTCTATAATGAGAACGTACACAAAGGAAACAACTTTCGAAAGGAATTTTATTTACCAACGAAAGACCCACACGGAAATTAGACACTGTACATGATTGAGCAAGGGTTGTTAAAGGAGACCATGAACGATACCAACAAACTTGAGAATTATGTACTTATTTGCATTCTTAGCTGCAATGCATTACATTGCATAGTATTACAGTGCAGTGAAGTAGAGTGCATTGCACTGCAGTGCAGTGCATTGTAGCATAGCGTAGTATTGTCGTCGTGTCGTCTCGTGTAGAGTAGGACAATGATGTATAATGTTTTTTTAGCGCAGCGTAATGCCGGGTAATGTGATGCAATGTGGTGTGTTTTGCTATCTAATGTAATGTATTGTAGCCTAGAATGATCTTGCGTGACATAGCGTGGCGCAGTCAGTGTAGAGTATTGTGTGGTAATCTAGAGGACTGCAGTGTGTTGTATGTGATGTCCGAGTGTAGCTTGGGGTGATGTAGTGTGTAGTATAAGGTAGTATGCTGTGTTGTGCTGTGCTGTAGTGCCGAGACTTTGTGTTGTATTGGTTGTTGAAATTTTGGTTTGTTTCTGTCATGTCGGTTTTCAGTTGATGGTAACTATACTCAGTGGACTAATTGGACTCAATGCAGTGCAACGTGCGGTAATGGCATTCAGACGCGTTACCGATCCTGCATCAATCCCCCACCGTCCAACGGTGGCCGTGACTGCGAGGGCCCTAGAAATATGACGCAACCGTGCTTCATACAACCATGTATCCGTAAGTCCATATATCGGCATTAAATTATGCTTAACGTATTCAGGAGTTTCTAATAACACTGTTAAGTTATGATCTGTCTGACATAATTTGTTAGTACTGTAGATGATACGTTTATGGGTTTCTGACCCAATCACATGGTGTAAACGACCCCTTCAAATGTCTACGAGTGATTGTAAACTTGGCTTTGCCTCGTCGACTATTCGCTCATAGAAAACTTGGGCTCGTAGTCTAATTAGAAAAAAAATTATGAAACTTACCTTAGTTATAATTGAGAATTTTAAGAGAGTCCAAATTGATTTGGTTGTCCATCTATACTTGACCAGATTTTATTTTGTTCTAAATTGTTGTTAAGGAATACGGCTCGTGTTTTCTAAGTTTCCTTCCTTGTTCTCAAATGCCTGCCGTGTTTTATGAAAGCTTAATAGATGGTTCAGGCTTCTTTATAGACCAGTTTTCATTCAAGTGTCGAAGGTAACAATTTGCATTTGTTTTGGTTGTGTATTATTACGCTTAGCCGATAGGTTAGAAAACATTGTGCAACTTTGTCATCCAATCAGAAGTAAAACTAAAACTAATCGTGATTCGCTCGCACACGTTCCTGCGCTTTCCGTCAGCCACATGTATTTGCTCGGAGTTTTGATTGGTTCACTTGATAGTCTCTGTTCTTGTGATTGGCCATAGTCATGACTTTGGTTTTTGGTCTCGCGTCTTCAACTGAAAACTGCTTTATGCTGTACGAAATTGATTTATACGCGCGTACGAAACAATAAAACAAGGGGCCCTTTCCATTTAACTAAAAGAATTCCGAAAATTTCGAAACGGGGAGAAAAGGTACAGAGATTTACAGGGAGAATTTCCAGAAAATCTGAAATTGGTGAATTTCCAAAAAGCCAACATTTAAGCCGAAATTTCTGGAAATTTCGGGAAGAAAATCAAATAGAAAGGAAATTCCCGGTATGAAATTTCCGAAAATTTGGGTGTACCTCGCGACGTTGTCCTCTTTTCCGAAAATTCCGGAAAATACTGTTCCATTCGTTATTTAAAATTTCCGAAAATTCAAACAAGGATTTTTCATTGAATGAAAATCGCTCGCGCTCTTTATGCCGGTTTAATACTCTGATAAAACATAGGGTTAGCCAATTTGAGTACGCGCAGAATTCAAGCTGTTTCTTTCCTATCTTACAGCTCGGCTTTATCCTTATGGTGCAAAAGTTGGAGATGCACAATTGAGTCGCTCCAACGCGTACATATCTCAGTGTCTACGAATTAATATTCCTGGTCAAGGATTGCCATTCTTTATACGAGAACACAAGACGGTTTTCGTAAGTAACTTGCTTGTTTACTAAACTTAATAGAGTGTTTTCACATAACGTCATGGCAGCTATATTGGTATCCCAAAACAATGAAACGGAGGCCATATTGGTGTACCAAACCACTCCTGTGGGAATTGAGCTCTTTTCTTATGTTAAAACTTTCTTTTATTCCAATAATTTTTTGCTGCTGGCCTCGTGAGTAAAAACCCTCTATACGTTTTCTTTCACGTACATGCTAAAATTCGATAGTATTTATAAAATATTTTAAGCTAGATTACAAATCTCTGAATGTTATGTTATTTTTGTCAGTTAACCTTCAGCATTTTACTGATATCGTTTTATTTTGCTGTATTCTTGAGTAACGAAGCCTATTTTATTCTTGATCACGAGTAACGAAGCCTATTTCTTTTTTTGAATTTAACTGGTCNGTTTTGTGAAATGCGTCATGTCATATCTTCAGCAGTGCCCATCAACCGCCCGTGGGTTATTTGCCCCGACTAAAGTTTCAAGAGTGGAGCAAGTATTTGTTGTTTATCTAGTGGGTCAGAAAGTAAGAATGATTGAAAATGCAAATTGTGTAACCATGCACTTTTGTTGCTAATCGCTCGCAACGAAAAAAAAAAAAAAAAAAAAAAAAAAAAAACATTTCAAGGCTACGGGTTTAGTCCCGCGCGGCCAATATCCTGTATTTCATTAGCTAATAGGTTGCTATAAAAATGAAGAGACGCCGCTCAACTTGCGTTGACTTTCAGTTGGGTGGCCAAAGGGTTTCATTCGACTTGCGTGCAAATCTGATATCGGCAAAAGTGATTGCAAGTCATGGCAAGTGCACGCTACGCCTGGCCAAACGGAGTCCCAAGTGCACCCAAGTTTTCAACTTGCGTCTAGTCTACTTGCAGGTCCGTTTGTCCAGGGCTTTTATATAAGCTTACCTGTTTTGATTTTGAAGTTTGTTTTCATCATCAAGTCAATCCAATGTTCATGTCCTATGATTGATTCGTAGATTTGTCGGAATGGGCTGCTAAGGTTCGTCAGCCCCAACGTTGTCAGATGGCCTGAGCGTTTCCCTGGTTTCAGGCCAGGTTATTTCAGATTTGGACGCATGTACATCCTAGCACCATACTGGTCATACATCAGTCACTCTCCATTTAGACTGCCGGATCACAGAAACGGATCGAAGGTTTATTACCAGGTCTACGCCAAGACCTTCCTAGGCGATGTGACGTCCAACCATGCTAGAGAAGTCTTTGATCGAGCAAACAGTGACGTAAAACGCTATCAAACAAATCCCAGAACTCCAAACTTTAACGCGACCTGGGCGTTGAAAGTGACATGGGTTCGACTATATCCCATTACATACCCCTTCATAAATGCGGTAGGTTTGACAGGCGGGAAGTGACATAAATACAATCATTTCTCGCTTAGGCAGGCACTCTCGGAACCTGCTCCGGGGCGGGGGTACTCCTGGAAAAATCGTGTGGGCGGGGGTGTGCGGTCTCCTTCCACAAACGCTTACCCTATTTAAGACCAAACTCTGTGATTTCCCCTACCCTGTTTGTGACCTGACCAAAAATTTGATATCCTATTGACGACCCGATCGTTAAATCCATACCCCGTTTCAGACCTGTCTTGTAATTAGCTACCTATTTCAGACCGATGTTAAAGGCAATGTGAAGGCTTTTGTTGACGGTCTCAAAATGGCCAAAATCGATACCCTATTTCTGATCAAAACGGCTAAAAAAACCATACCCTTTCGGGCCGCACATACCTATATAGCCCATATAAGGGAGTACCTCCACCGGGACCTGCTCTAACTACCTGCCTTCGAGAGGTGTCTGTCTTTAAAAGAAAGTTCAGTCACAGAAAATACAAGTGAAATTTGGTCACGACCAGTAAACCATATTTACCTTTTGCGAGATGTCCGTTTTCTGAATTGGTGTCCGAGAAAAGAGCTCCCATTTAACGAGCTCGGGAATAATAAACTGATAAGCTTTGTAATCCGGTTGATTTTACTTTCTTTTCACATCAATATCAAGTTCTAATTTCACGTGTGTGTTAATTTTGATTTCTAGTTGTTGCATTTTAAATACTGTAGCATCTTTAACATTTTGGACCTCGTCCACACTACGCCGGAGGAATTTAAAAACGCAAAAAAAAAAAAAAAAATCACCTGTCATGTTGGATTTGTGTTTGAGGAAAACTCGGCCGGTGAAATCACATGATTATCGTGACGTCATCGTTTTCAGAAGCTCTGTTTTCAAATTTTTTTCCGTCCGAACGAAAATGGAAAGCCGGCGTTTCGTTTTCAGCTTCTTCCCGTTTGAAGAGCGCCTTTTTAAAAGCTCTGTTTTTGTGACGGATAATTGTGGACGGTAGGCCTAACTGTAGGAATAAAGCTGCGTTGCTGCCTGGGTCTATTCTCACTGCATATAATTATTAGCACATCTCGGAACTTGATTTAATCCCTCAAATTCCACCATGCTTTTATGCCCCAGGGCTGGCATGATACTTTGCGGTCTCGTCGTTTTAATTCTCGGATTTTGCTCGATTACTGTCATTTTGTCGGCGTTCCGGCGAGGAAGCTTTTGTCGCCTCAGCCTCCTCCCCTGGTGCCGGTTGTAGGTGCTACCCTCATTTCTCGCTGCATACGCCTAATTGCAATAACGTTGTCATAGAAAAAAGCAAAAAGCCAAATAGAAATTAACTGGGGAAATTTAAATTTCCATTGTTCTTAGATACTGTACATGAATGAAAAATACATTTTTCATTCATGTCATTCATGTACATTATATTTTCATTCATGTACAGTATCTGAAAACAATGGAAATTTACATTTGGCTAATTAATTCCTATTTGGCTTTTTGCTTGTTGCTTTTTTCTATGACAACGTTATTGCAATTAGGTGTACCTTAGCTGCCATAGTAGTCGCAGATTTTTCCCATAACTTAGTTTACCGCGATGTGATAATAGGTATGCAGTGAGAATAAATTACTGCGTTGTATAATGTGTAACTTTCAGCTTGGTTTAAACTTTCTTGACTTCCCTCAGTGCAAGCAAGTTTCTTGCATTACTCTTGTTATGTTTTAAGTCATTTAAAAATTTATTTTACAGAATATAGAGTAGCTATACCTAACGTGATAAGCTAATTATCAATTTGAAGTTGATGGAGGCAGTGAGTTTGTGAAGCATTTAAAAGTGTCATCCCTTCGTCAGAGTAGAAACTGAAAAACTTGTCTCTTCAGGTCAACACGTTCCAGATTGTCCTGGTAACCGACGGTCAACATTCTTTCGCGTTGTTCAATTATCCTGAAAATGGAATTGAGTGGGCTGCATCAACAGGGCAGTAAGTATGAATAAGACATCTTTAGGAAAGTAAATGGTTAGGAAAAATTTGGCGTGGTAGCTACAATAGGCCATTTTACTAGTGTGTGCGCAATTGCCTGGCCTATGAATGCAAGCGAGGTTGGAGGTGTCCTTGCCTTGAGACAAACTTCTCTGCTTTACTCATTTAATGCAAACTAGTTAGCATTAGAACAGCTTGATTTACAAAACAAAAGCAGTGAGGTCTGTATCATTCAAAACAAGGTCACCTCCAGCCTCGCTGCCATTGAAAGGCCGGGCCACTGAGCAAACAACTGCAGAATGGTCTATTCTCAGTACGCAAAAGAAACCACGATGGGATTAATTAAGCATACCAGTTTCCAGACTAATTACAATATCTTAATCTTAGCCCATAGTTTAAAGCAGGTGGGCCACTTAACTGCATAGGAACTGCACTGCTTGCTTAAATGTTATATTCAAGTATAAAGTAAATCAACTTTTGTATAGAAACAAGTTCTCTTGAATCCTGGCTCGCAACATGTGCTTGCTTTCTGTCTACGAGAACTACTGTACATCTTGAGAGTTTAAATGTTGATATGTCTATACTCATTAAAATCAAATCTCTCTCTCTTTTTTCACATTTTTATTTCCATTCAACGGCTTACATCAATTTGTAAAAAAAAAAATAGGCTAAATATTAATAAATGGCTACTAAGTTTACATCAGTAGCTTATGTTATACTACAAGTGACAAAAAAGAAAACTACGCAATAAAAACGACAACAAGAACAAACGACACAGACAAAAAATAAATGAATGAATAACTTCGTGATTGCAAAGAGCGAATCAATCTAAATTATTTCTTTGGTTACTTACGTATTTAATCTATCTACATATTGATTTGATTTCTGGCCAGGGCTAAATACCCATTTTTTTTCAAAATAATCCTTTCTATTTATTTTACGTTCAGTTTCATATCTCTTGGTATTTTTCTCTCCAGGAATTTCCGCTTGCTCTCACAGAGAAGCCGTGGGCTTCCTGTTATCGGATATAACGCAGGAGACCCAGCACAACTGCGTTTCACTAATGTACCGGGGTAAGAAACACTTGTGGTTTCCAGCGGTGTCTAAGTGTCACCTTTGGAGCTAAGATGGCACCTTAAGAAGTTAGCTGATGGTTGAGAAAAATCAATAGCTGTCATATTTTGGCTGAACTTGCTTTAACTAATAACTAAAAATATGATGGAAATTGTTATCCGGCGGTAATTGCGAATAATTGAACAATCCTTATTCAAACCCCCTTGTTATTGGCGGTGGGGGGTCCTCCGCGTGCTTGCTCTCTTTCTCCTCCTTAAAATTCCATTCGATCAAGATAAAGAAGACCTGTATGAAAGCTAGATATGCTTTATTTGTATCTAAATGAAACATTTTATTTATACTTTTATTTGTCATGGAAGTTGTGCAATGTAATTTTCCACATGAAGGAAAATACATTGTGCG